CGTGGTTACAACCCAACTCTTTTCAATATATGTAACATTATCGAATGCCTTTTTATTGTCAATATAAGTAATAAACGTTGACCTACGTTCTGTATTCTTTTTTCTACAATTAATCTTAAAGCCAATATCGCTTCTCTCGTAACCATATTTTTTCTAAATCTGAATTAGTCTGGTAATAATTCTTCTATCTTCTTTTCCATTCTTTTATACATAAGTTTTATTAAAATCTTTGAGGCGTGCGAGAGCAAGCTAATTGTTCGATATTGTTCACACTTTTTAGCTGATGTCTTCTTTGGATTAGTAATAATTATACTCTTTACACAGTCTGTAGGTATATTCGCTGTTTTGTAAATATTTCTAATAAGTTTAAATAATTCATTTACAATACTTTCTCCTGCTTTCTTTCAAAGTTTGGGTTGGATCTCATCTATTCCTGCCACTTTCTTTGGTTTTAAGTCTCTTAATGCTTTGTTAAATTCTTCTCTTAAAACCGGAAATTCTACATACTCTTCATCTTGCTCCATGACATTTATTTTTTTTAAATCTGTAACAACTAGTTTTTCTTCATCATAAAGTGCTCCTATGTATTTCTTCTAGAGGTCGCGATTACACGTGTAATGAACTACACGGGTACCCGTGTTTTTACCTATGATGGGGTTAAAGCCCGTGTAGTAAAAATATCCGTGTATATCCGGGCATTTAAAAACCCGTGACCTTAAATACTCATATATTTAATTTAATATATATATATATACAATGTATGCATGGGTATTAAATACACGGCCTTTAAAATATGTTTTGTCCGTGNTGGGTATTAAATACACGGCCTTTAAAATATGTTTTGTCCGTGTATTCTAATACCCTTTCACAATCGCGACCTCTAATTTCTTCCATTTATCTACAATCTTTTCCTACTCATAAATAATTTCTTCTTTATTTTCTATTACTCCACATTTGGGTNTGTATTCTAATACCCTTTCACAATCGCGACCTCTAATTTCTTCCATTTATCTACAATCTTTTCCTACTCATAAATAATTTCTCCTTCTTTATTTTCTATTACTCCACATTTGGATGTACATACTCCAAAAAACTTTTTTGCTGTTTTATATGCTTCTTCTCTGTTGTTCATTTTCATCATAATATCAAAATATTTTTAAGTTTGAGGTTACATTTAAACATAACAAGATTGTGGTCACTGTATATCCGCACCAGGATAACTCCGACTGTCTTTGACCTGGTTTTTGAATCTATTTATTTCAATGATGAAATCTATTTGGTACCTTCCCAAATCTCCTGACATTTTCCATGTAATCGTTATTATCAGGTCATTGTTGCACAAAATTCCATCAACCTATCTATTCGATCATTCCTTTTTCCTAGTCCATATTTTCCCATAGTGTTTCTTTGTCCTTTTCCTTCTCCTACTATTGCGATCCAGTCTCCCATAACGATTAGATTATCCTTACATTTAACTGTTTCAAAAGCGTTCTATATTTGTTCGTATACTTCTTCTACTTGGCCATCATTATTGATGGAAGTCGGCATATATACTTGTAATATAATTGTGTCTTTTGGTTTGGTTTCTATATTGACAAGAATAATCCTTTCACTATACTGCACGTACATTTTCTTTTTCTTTTCAATGTGTCTTTTCCAAGAATTATGCCTACTCCTACCCTTCGAGGTTTTTCGACTGATGTGCCTGAGTATATAAATCTATACTCTACTCTCCAGGTTCAGGCAATCTTACTTCTGAAACTCCTAGATTATCGATGTTCATTCTTGCCATTTCTATTTTTAGGTTATCCAGTTTACCGCATTGTAGTAGGGTTCGCACAATCCAGTTCGCTATTCTTCTATTTTATCAACCCCCTGATCATTTTATCCTCACTAATAGTCCCCACCCAGAGATCCGAATGGAGACTTTACTTCCTATATATATTGTAATTTATTTTAGTTGAGCCGTGCTGCGACGGTGTTTATTGTCCAAATAATCATGATAAGATGTTGTCGTTTGTTTGTGTGCGTATCAGATATTCAGCTGTGTACTACTTGACACGGTCCCGCGTCGTTCTCTATACACCAACCCGCGACCCGTAACACCTTTATCAGCCGCCGCCTTACTACGTGCATATGATAGTTTGACTGACTAACACCGTGTGCGATACGCCACGGTACAAAGTCCAGCAAGTGCCGCACGTCCATCTACGACCCGCCGCAAATATACGTTAAGTAATCTCCGTGACCCCGTACGATACGGATCTATCGAAAATTACACCCGTTCAACTCGCTGCTCATACGATTTTACCGTCAGTTTTTTTTGTTATTAAGTATTGAGTACACTGTATATTTCAGTTTGTTCTTATTCTTGTGACTGTATTTGGAAGAACAATATACGGCTTCACGCCATTTTATAATAGAACTAAAAAACTTGTGTTATTTAATTTGTGTTCCACGACGACAGTCGTGACATACTTTAGACCGGTTCATGGGCGGTATTTGTGTGTATACTCACTCTGCTCTTTTTCTATCTTAAACGTCATTTGCACTGCTCATCACTGACATTCTCACCTAGTGATATAAATTCCTTCATATTTTTATTTTCTATAACTTCCAGTAATGGGTTTAATTGAATTTAATTGAATAATTGAACTTCTAAGGGCTGGCCGAAGTTTCAACATCTTACCGTGTCGAACAGGTTTTCAGATTTTAACTACAAAGTTGGAACGTTGGGTGTTGAAGTCTGTCCGTAGCGATTATTGGTTGTGTGCGCTGCAACAGATTGTTTTTTTTTTTTTTTACTGAATTTTTTCCATGAGTCTACTACTATTATTTAACTTTGTTTCTTTTTTCGTAGGATGGGTTATATTTGATCTAATTTTTAATAGCTCTTCAGGTCTATTAAGGTATATAAGAGTACTTTTTACATGTATACACAAAAATTTGGGGTATAAGAGTTAGGACTTTTCAACATTTTAAAAATAAGGTACACTCTAATGTATATATATATATATAAAGTTTTTGAAATATTAATTGACACGAAATATTGTTAACACATTAAAAATCAAAATTAAAAAAAATTTAGAGGTACCTGTTTGTCGTGCAACAATTTTTTTAATTTTGATTTTTAATGTGTTAACAATATTTCGTGTCAATTAATATTTCAAAAACTTTATATATAACCAATTTTTGTGGACAATTTAATTAATTTTTAAGAAAATTGATTAAAAAAAAGTTTTTACTATAACTAATTTTAACAAGATTGCAATTAGCATTAAATAATAAATTTTATTAGGATTAAAAAAATGGTATTATTTAGATTAATACGTTTTCATGTACTTGAATTTATAAGAAACGGCTCAACATTTTGATAAATCATTTTTACGCTTCAATGCATAGCTAGCAATAGCAATTGGTTTTATTTTTGCGATTTTTTTGTGTCTGATTCGCAATACTTTCGATCATAATCGACTAATTTTGCTCAATTATACAAAAATATCACAAAACGTATCTCATTTAAGCTATCAGCGCCATAATTAAAAAAAATTTTCTTTACTCTTGATAATAAAGAGAAATGTTTCACAGAATTGTAGTTGTCATAAAACAGTTTATTTTGATATTTTTAGTTTTCACTATAAATTGAAAGTTGGATAAATCATTGTGACATTTATATTGGCAATACTTCAAACATTTGCCTTGATGACGACATACGTTCTTAAAAAAATAACTTTAACCAAGGTACCGTGTACCTTGATTAAAGTTAAAAATACCTCATTTTTTTCTATAAGTGTTTTAATAATGGAATTCAAGTAATTTAAACCATTTATTTGGTCACTTCATACAATTTTTTTTTTGATATATCTCTTTTTTTTTATTGAATTTGTAATTTCTATTTTACTTCTGATTTATTTGGTACAAAATATATATAACGATTATTTGTATAACTGTCTTTAAATAATGAATTTTGCTTTACTTTTTGTTTTACTCAATTAAAACGATTTTATATGTAGTTTATAAATGCACACTTCGCAAAACTCATTCTTACCTATGTTTTCAAATGGTATTTGCATACGAGCAAATAATTATGTTTTGTATATTCTTAAACGCAGGTCAATGTATTTACGACGAACACGCTAGGATATAATATTAACTGAACCATCTAGTTGATCTTCGGAATAAACACAAAAACATCTAATATAATAATCATTTTACTCATTATAACCATATTTCATAACCAAACATTTAATTTCATTGTATTGTGCACATAATTTCGAGACTAATTTTAACACAACTTTACAAGGATGATCATTTGTAATTGTATTAATATTTTTAAATTAAATCCATTTTAGTAATGATAAAATAAGTACAATAACATCCATGTTACTCGACAGTTGTATTTAAACTGACATGAAGCTAATATTAAACACCTTATATTCATTTTACAGATTAAATAGATGTTCCAAATTATATTATTTCTTAGTGTGTACGCCTTAAATACATCAACATGCGTTTAACAATATACAGAAGTTATTGTCAAATGAAAGAATAAATATTATATTAGTTTTTTATGATAGTGATTTTAATCACTGTGAGATATCATTATACTTGACCTAACTATGCCACGATCACCCTGTGCTGGGTTATTTCGAAAATTAATTTTATAAATTCACCAATTTAGGAATATTATTTAATGATTTGAATATTTCAATTAATATTAATATTCACATTCTGATGACTTATTACACTTTCTTATCACTCACAAATTGTATATACAAAATAAAATGTAATAGTTAATCCATTGAAAATCTTCTTTTATAATGCCATTTTATGCAAAAAAAGACAACAATATTGGCTAACGAACCGTATCAGTAATTACTTACAAAAATACAAATTTCAACTATTCAATTATAGTTATAACTTTTAGACTACAAATAAATACATGTAATTTCATATCCAGTGATGTTATAAAATTTGCTTATGTATAAGAGCTNGGCCACGTACATTTTGATAATAAATATTTAAATGTCTATTAAGACTAACATTTGATTGAGAAAAGGGAGAAGTGGAATTATGTGTGGTATTTGAATGTTGAGAGACAAAATTAAAAAAACAGTTTATAGTTGATGAAGAAAGAACACAAAAGGTGCAAAATGGATCATTGCCAAACGATGTGTGCTGGTGTATCTTAGAGATGAAAAGGTTAGAAGATGAATTTAGTTTTTTGAAGCATAAGTTCTTGAAGAGCCATCACTGATATGGTTATTTTTTACAATATATGGAAATCCATTTCTGTATCTAATAGTAATGTTAGTCTCACCTTGCTTTTTGCGGTTGTCAAGATCTTGGTAGACACGACGAATTTCCTGTCGCTCTAAGAGAGTGCGATCCCGCGAAACATGAATATTCTGCAGATTATTATCAGCTCCCAAAGAGCGTTTGCCAGTGTTGAAGTCGATAACGAAACTAGAAGCTTGCTCCTTAGATGAAAAGATAACTTTTAGTGGTCTAGGCTTTGTATTGTTAGGGCGGCCGAGTCTAAAAAGCTTGCAATCAGATAGAACGGACAGTGATAACGGTTGAATGACTTCATTAAGTTTTTTAATATCATCATTCGCACGAGAAGAGGGTGAGGTTTCTGATGACTCAGAGAGACCATGAACAACAATATTAAAAAGGGACTTTTCTCGTTCCGAAATTTCACTTAGAAGATTTGGTAGCACGCTGTCGTTTTTTGATGCAGTTTCAAGGGCAGAAATTCTTTCCTGGAGATTAGTAATGTCAGATTTGATGGTAGTGTTTTCAGCACGAATCTCTGCTAATTGGGATGATAAAAGGTCAACGCTATTTTTTAGTTCGCTGAACATTTTGTTAAGAGACGCACATAAGGTTTTGCATTGCTTTTGCGTGCTTTGAATTTCAGCGAAGGCTAGTCGAAATTCTTCAGCAGATAGGGGAGTGGGTGCAGAGAGTGTAGCTTTTGAGGCTTTGGCGGCTGTAGCAGAGTTAGACCTCGTTATAACTTGGTTTGAAATGGTTTTGGGTGAGTTAGGGTTACTCATGTTGATCTATCTCAGTGCCCAGCGTTTAAGTCTCCAAAAAATAGATAGATGATAGTGTGGACAGTGAAAGTTATGTAACAACAGTACCGAGCGTTTAAGTCACCAGAAAACAGCTGATGGCAATGATGCGGACCAACAATATATGATAAGAACAGAAAAAGTATGATCAGTACTCACAAAAAGTTGAAGTAGAAAGATATAATAAGTAACCAAAATTAAAGTTTGGTAGGCTGAATTGACTTCCAGAGTTCAATAAAAACATACGGTATAATTTAAAATTACTGGAGGAAAAAAATGCGCACTAAATTATAATTTAACTATTGTTATAGAGCAGACAAAATTGTTATCAAAAACAAATTATCTAGCTTATGACATTTAATTCTATTTAAATTATAATTATGTATAGATTCGGATGTTTATGACTAAAATTTTATTAAATATGCATTTATAAATGTAAAAATATGCAATTATGTGCCTTAAAATATACCTAATTTTCAATAACTATATGCAAAAAAAAAGGTTAATATTAATTCGAAAATTTTTTATATCTTTTTAATGTAAATTAATTAAATTATTTCATTACAAAACACACATATTAAATAAGAAAAAAAAAACCCAACACAGTGGGTGTGGCGGCACAGTGGGGTCGTGGCATAGTTGGGTCCAGTATAGATGATATCTGACAGTGATTNAAATGAAAGAAAATTACCTAAGGTTTCAATATAAAGAAATATTATTTTGATTAGTTAATATTTGAAAAAGTTATGGCAGTTTTAAGTACAAAAAACATTCCGATAGAAGGTGATTTTTATCGTAAACATTACATTTTTTTTATAATTTCGACAGCCATTTGCACGTAGAAGATAAAGTGTCGGGACAAATTTTTTTTTTTCATTTTATAATACATAAAATAAGCTTTAATTTGATATATGTTTAAAGGACGCAGTATTCCCGGAACATTTTCAAAAGTTCAATTGAAAAAGTTCTATTTTTTATACAATGTTTCAAAGTTTGAACCCCCCCTATATAAGGGGAAATTGTCTAATTTTAATAAAAAGTATGTCAAATGGAAGATGTACTTATAATGTATTTAGAAAAAAAAAAATTGTGCTGATACATGCATTTTTCGAAAAGTTATAGCATTTTTAAGTTGAAAATTAAAAATCGAAAATCGAAAATTTTAACACAAAAATAGTGTTTTTTTAACTACGGCAACCGTTTACATGCAGAAGATAAAGTGTCGGGACAAATTTTTTTTTTTCATTTTATAGTACATAAAATAAGCTTTAATTTGATATATGTTTAAAGGACGCAGTATTTCCGGAACATTTTCAAAAATTAAGTTGAAAAAGTTAGTTTTTGTAAAAAAGTTGCTATTTTAAATCCCCCCCTGAGCAGGTTAAGTGTTAGATCAAACGAAAGGGAAATATCTAAGGTTTTAGTAGAAAAAAAAATTATGATGATTTGTTTATTTTTCAAAAAGTTATGGAAGTTTTAAGAAAAAAAAAATAAAAAAATTTACCGATTTTTAAATTTGTAATTTTTTTGGATATGTCCCCCATTTTCGGAGAACGAGGGAATTTTTTTCAATTTTGAAGGGTTATGTCTCCAACTAGATACGATTTGTGATCTTTTGACGTACTTTTGAAAGAAATCGGTCCAGTGAGATCTGAGAAAAAGTGGCAACAGACATAAAAAAAAAAAAAACACATCATAGTAAAATTAATACCTTCTCAGCTTCGCATCGAAGCTAAAAATTATAAATGTACTTCAAATATCAGGATTATATTTAATAACTATTATTTTGCTGATGTTTTTAAATTTGAACGACCTTCAATGATCTTTATAAGTTGAAAATGACCGCTTCACATCTACAGAGATAATTGGTGCGTGCTTAAAATTAATAATGTCGTTAGTTTCTATAACTTCAGGTAGTTCTTTAAGTGATTCTGTTTCCCCATCTAATATCTTAGAAATTTTGCACAATACTTCATATCCAGAATTTGTGTCCAAAACTTTGAAATTTTGTGTATATTGTTTTAATATGATGTAATTCCATCAAACCACGTTAGAATTATTTCCGTATAATAAGCCTATGGCTATTGCTTAACCCCAAAAATTAACAAGCTGTTACGGGAGTAACAAATAGAATAAAATAAAATAGTATTGCCGAATAAATAATTAGTTTATTAAAAATAAAAGTAATAGTAATCGCATAATAGTTGTCAAATGACTAACGATGCTCTGAATTACAACAGTCGCAGTCGGCCCACTTTCCGATTTTGCAACACCGAAAAATACCTTATAAACACATTCTTATAGGCCGACCTCGATTACAATTCAATTTATGATTATCTGTTATTATAATTGTAGAACAATAATAATACTAAGTTAAGTATTCATAACAGAGCTTATGACTAATTAAGTTCTAAAAATTTCTTTTTCTGGGATTTACTACACTTTTAATCAGTTAAAGCTATAGGTTCTCTCTATTCCAAATATTTCATTAAGGGTAATACAAATAATAATTGCTTTAATTATTTAGCACTTACCTTAATTACTTCTTATGAGTAAAATCCCTTATTCGACTGCGCCAATGATGGAATTATAGCTTATTCGTGAAGTAATAAATAAATAATAACATGGCGGTTAAATATTACTTATAATATATTTTAAATTAGGATAACACTAAGGCTGTTACAATATCACGGTGATGTTCCGTAAGATAGTTGAAAGATGATTCAATTATATATTTTATTGGTGCATCGCCGGACCGGTTCGCGGCACCCGCGATCACTCAGCGTCGCGCGACCTGTCGGACGAGGAGAGGTATCTGTGTCGCAGTCACCATCCAGCGGTAAAGTTAGAAGTAGAATGCGACCGCGTCAATCTTGAGGAGCTAATGCTGCAATTTCTAATTTTTCTGAAACTGTGTTTATAATATCAACCGAATTGGATAATGTTTTCCTCTTTTCTTCTAGAAATATTAGAGCTAAAGATAGGAACGAAAAATTTGATTTTATAAAAGCTAAATTGGCCTCAACTCTTTGTTCACCCATAACTTCTTGAGCTGTTTTTATAGACAAAGCATCAATTGGATCAAATTTGTCTATAATTTTTTTAATTGTTTTATATAAGTCACAGTAATAAATAGACGTCGTTAACCATATCCCCGAACTGGTTATAACTAGTTGTGAGGTCAGGTGCTTCATCTTTAAATATTTGTATTCTTGCTGGACATTTAAGGAAGACTTTTTTGACGGACGATATAAGTTTGTCAACTAACGGAAAATCACTACGGATTTGCTCAGCTACTCGATGTAGTAAAGCATGTTACATGATGCATCTTAGGGAAAAATATTTGATCGCTGATTCGGCTTTTACTATATATGGTGTGGTGTCGCTAACCAACAACAAAACATTATTGTGTCTACTCCTTGAGGCCAAATAATTCATAGTTCTATCAAAAAGTTGAGCTATTGTTGTACTATTAGTTTTTTCAAGATGTTCACAATTAACAAGTATGACTTTACTAGGATCTTTAAAATCAAGTACACCCACAATAACATTAGCCACATAGCGTCTGTCGACATCCATGGTCTCATCGATAGAAACCCAAATTTTACGGTTAAAGACCTCGTCTTGTATTTTAGTTAAAATATTTTTATAAATACTGTCCACATAATTTTTCCTCAAGGTTGATTCGTTGGAGATATTTTTAGAAGTATACTTTTCTAAGATATTTTTAAATTTTAAATTATTTACCTTGTATATTAGCCGAAAGTAAAGTATCAGCTAGATCGGAGTTAAAATCACTTTTTTCTTTGTGTTTTCAGTTGACACGACACCGCCTTTTGCTCTAGGCTGGCGCTCACCCGTGTCTCTCTCGATATCAGCCGTCCAGCTATTAATATGACAATCGGTTGTCATCGGTCGTCTCCCCACCCTTGACACTGAGATAAGGCCGCCGCCGAATATGGATTACCGATATTGCTTTCTGTTCCGTTTTCGACGTACACCTAACTGGTTACACGATTCCGCTTTTCTTTTGTGCTCTCCGTTTACCTTTCAGTTTTCTTTGGTTTTGTATTAATTTACAACGTTGATCGTCGGCTGTACCGGTACCTTGAGTTATCCGACATAGTAGACAGATACTCTTAGAATATTACAGTGTGGTATCACTAGTGTGAGCATTACATATAAACCCGCCATAGCGAACTATAAATATAAATATAGCATTTAAATCACCAGTGCGATTTTACACTAGTTTTTTTTGTGCGTCCGCTACGAACTGGCTGTGAGGCCAACTGCATTTTTTGGATTACGCAACACAGTTAATAACGATTGAATTGTATTCTGTTCACTTCTTTTTCTTGGATTTACCGCATGCTCATGCTTTGCAGTTTTTAAGTGTTGTGTAAGTAAATATCGTTAAGTTGCAGAAACTTTAACTTCACAAAATTTGTAGAACAATATTTTACCATCAGAACTAAATATATTTTCCTGAATACATGGTTAGTTCAAAACTTAAAAATAAACATAGAAAGTAGAACTTTTTCAACTAAATTTTAACAGTATTTCAGAAATACTGAGACTTTTATATATATCATAAATTAAAGTTCATATAATATACTTTAATTAAGTAAAATTAAAACTATATTAAAAATATTTTTAATTTAAAAAACTAAAAAATATTAAACTCAAAGCCACAAAAAATTCATGAAAAGTCGCGGATACGTATTTCGGAAACAATGTTACCATTATCAACGCTAAACACATACTGACAACCCGACTAGAAAAAACTCTCTTATATACCCCTAGTAACCTTATCACCTAGTGACGTCATCACTAAGTAATATTATCACATTTTGCCAGTTTACACAAGTTTAATATGAATTTTTCAGTGGGCCAAGATCCCAATTAATTAAATTGTTTTTATTTTTAAACATTTTTGTTGCTTCTCTGATATTAAGTTCTTTGTAATTATTTACGTTTTTAATTAGTTTTATGGTTTTAATAGAGTGATTATGTGTCAATAAATGTTCAGCCACTGGAGATTTCTCAATTTCTTGATTTTTAATATTTCTTAAGTGCTCTTTAAACCTGACCCCTATATTTCTTTTTGTTTGTCCTACGTAACATTTATTACAACTTTCACATTGTATTTTATAAATGCCTGATTTCCCCCCTTCATCTACCTTATCTTTAGGGTTACCTAATAAATCTCTTAAATTATTACTCTTAGATGTTACCAANAACTTTATCTTTAGGGTTACCTAATGAATCTCTTAAATTATTACTCTTAGATGTTACCAAAGTAATACCAAAATTCTTAAATATTTTAGTTAATCCATTTGAGATGCCCGGATAAAATAAAATTGGTGATCTAATTACTTTTTGTTCCCCCTCGCTGGTGAGTGTACTAGCTGCCCTCCTTTCTTTTTTCCACTTATGTGTTTGGACTAATTTTGAAATTATGTTTTCGTTATACCCATTAAATTTAGCTATTTCTTTTATAACCACCAATTCTCTATTAAAATCTATTTTATTCATCGGAATATTAATTAATCTGTAAACCATACTATTAAAAGCTGACAATTTGTGTTGCCACGTGTGGTTCGATGTGTTCGGAATGTATCTGAACGTGTGTGTTTTTCCGATAAATTTCAAAATTTAGTTCCCCCTCTGTTCTTTTAACTATTAAATCCAAAAAAGGCAATTTTCCCTCTACTTCTTGTTCAAATGTGAATTTAATCGATGGGTAAAAAGAATTTAAATGTTGTATGAAAACCCCCATATTAAAATCTTTATTTATAACTGCAAAAATATCATCGACATACCTAACCCAAATTTTTGGAAAATCACCATAAGTGTATTTTNCACGTACCTATCCCAAATTTTTAGAAAATCACCATAAGTGTACTTTAAATTTGTTTCAAACCTACTCATGAAAAGTTTTATTATATAATATACTTTATTAAGGAAAAAAAAATGTCGGACTTTATATTGTTTTCATGGCGAAAACGAACATCAAAGTTAATAAAAAAAAAATACGATTTTTATAAAAACATTGGTTTATATATTTTGAACTTTATAATGCTATATTTTTTATAATAAATACTACATATACCTCTTTCATTCGACATACTATTTTTTTTAAATAAAACCATTTCCCTTTATATATTTATATATTATCTTTATGTATAAAAATCTCATGTCACATTGTTTGTCCGCGATGGACAACGAAACTACTGAACCGATTTTGATGAAATTTGACATACATATGTTATTGTGTCCACCTTAGACAATAAGATATTTTTTATCTTGATTATTAGCCTCATTTTTTTTTGATTGAAAATTATATTCGTAAAAGTTGATTGCTATTATTTTCTCATAAATGGTGGTATGAAATTTTTATATTTGATCAATTTTCATTATTAAAGTAATATATGCGTCCAATAGATGGCGTCTGTCGTTAAGTGTTTTCTTTCAATAATTATAAACGCTTCTCACAATTATTGACAATAATTGGTGATTTCCGCTTAGACATGGTATTTTTTCCATATATTAATCCACGATACATTTTAGTTATTGAGTAAATATTTCTCGATTTATTAATGATTTTTTTCAATTATGTCATTTTATTTGATTTAATATATTTAATTATACGAATTTTAATAAAAACCATAATATGCAATTTATCTATTCTATCTTTTTTTTATCTTTTGTTTATATTCACATCACGCAAATTTGAAATCACATATTGATTGTGTAATTTTGACTTTATTTATATTTCTTTTTTGTATCCTAAACTTCCACTTGACACGATCTCTCACATCATCTACGCTCACACCAGCTGTCCTCATATCACATCCAATAGCAACCCTCCATCTCTTTTTTGGTCTTCCTTCAACATTCATTTCTATAACGAAAAAATGACTATCTGAAATGATTAAAAATGTTCAAAATCAGTTTTTTGACTTATTGGAGGCATTGGCGAAAAATTATTATTGAAAATAAAATTTTTTAATTAGATTGTATTCGTTATTAAGTCGTTAAGTAGTTAACATAATCATACATCATTATCAGACCATACAGCAGTGCCTTCACCATCAGGTTTACTATTTTTCCACTGTCCACCATATTGGGTACCATTTGACCATTGAGCTGAGCCCCAACCATGCATTTTATTATTTGACCAGTAACCATAATATTTCATTTCAACAGTATTGAAATCATTATTTCTATCTGTTTGTCCAAAGCCGTGTCTTTTCCCATTAATCCAATTTCCAGAATAAAGTGGATCCTCCTTTTTAGCTGGCACATATGTTCCATATCCATTTCTCATACCATATTCAAAATTACCTTGATACCAACTACCATTTGGCCAATTTATGATACCATTTCCCTTGAGAAAACTGTTGAAAAAGTTACCCTATTTTTCAAGTTAAAACAACTCCATGATAAAAAATATTGTAGCACTTTGGGATCGTGGCACAATGTGTACGTGACATAATTGAGACAAATAATGGTATGACATAATGGTATCTGACAGCAATTAAAATCACTATAATAAGAAACGCTTCGGATTCAAACACTAGCTGTAGTTATTGTTATTTTTACGATTTAGGTAAATTATTCCAATAGAAAAATTAACTCTTATTTTTTGTTAAACATTGACTGCCATTTGTACATAGAAGATAGGTCGTCGACACAAACTTTTTTTTAACTTACAGTACGCAACATAAGATTTAATTTAATATATATTAAAAAGACGCAGTATTACCAGAATTTTCTAATTTTTATACGGATTTTTAAAGTTTTATGTTAACGGAAATTGTTCAAATAAGAAAAAAAATTATGTCAAATGAAAGAGGTAGATATTTAGTATTTAGAAACAAAAATTTTTGTTCATCATTTTTCAAAAAGTAATAACAATTTAAAATATATAATCGATAATTTTAACACAAAAACAGCATGTTATTAACAACGTATAAAAAAAACGTTTTTTACTTTGGGCATCACCCAAAACCCTACGTAATAAATTTTTCATCCACTTTACTCCAGCTTCCCACAGACCCCCAAAATGCGGTGAGCGCTCAGGAATAAATTTCCACTCCACTTCGTTTTCAGACAACATATTATTAATTTTACTTTGATGTTTGAGATAATTCATACCATTCTTTAAGTTGACGATTTGACCCGATAAAATTTGAGGCATTATCAGTGTACAAAGTTTTACTTTTTCCGCGTCTATCAAAAAACCGATTTAAAGCACGTAAGAAAGCATCGGTTCTTAAATTACTGACCAACTCAAAATGCACCGCATGTGTCGCAAAACAAATAAATATACACACATAGGCTTTAGTAACCGGTGAATTTTTCCTCAATGCTGTTTTTAACAAAAATGGACCACAGAAATCTATACCTGTGGCTAGAAAAGCTCGACGCGGAGACAGGGGGTCCCTTGGTAGATCTCCCATGATCGGTTGCACCTTTTGAGGCTTGTGACGAAAACAAACAACACATCTATTAACGGTAAATCGTGCGAGGTTTCTACCGTTAATAGGCCAATAATTTAATCGAACAGACGCTAATAACGCTTGTGGTACACTATACATTAACTTGATGTGTTCCTCTCTAAATAACAATTTGGTAAATGAACAATGTGACAGTAATACCATAGGATTCCGTTGAAACACTGAAATATCGTCTGCGTTTTTAAACGCCCACCCACGCGTAGCAAATTGTTTTCATCCAAAAATGGTCTAAGAAAATATAATTTACTTGCCTTTGAGATCTCCTTTCCTTTTTTCAATTGCATTATTTCGCTTAGAAATGATCGACCTTGAACCAACTTAACTAAACATATCCTCGCTGCGTTTCTTTCTATCGCACTTACAAAGCCATTTCGCTTAGAAGTATGAAATATATTTTTCATTTTGTAAAAATTATCTAATGCGTTATTTTTAAATCTTAAACAATAAGCGACAACACGCAATAATTTGTTGAACCAAATGTTACGACTGTGGACTGTATTTTAATTTTTACGAGAAAAATATTTCTTATGTCGCTTAACTATGAATTAATAAAACATTTCTATATGTGAATAGTGAGGAATTTATTAGGAGACTGGTTTTTCTCCGCTGAGTAAAACTGATCGTCCGCTTATCACAATAATAATAATAATAAAAAAAATCATAATAATACTCATACAATAGATCACGCCGCAACAATAGCTTTTAGTTCATTATTCCTAGAGCGTACATTAATAGTCCGTCAATATGGGAACATGTTTTTTACTTTTAATTTTTGATACAATTCGTTTTTAAGACACGAAATAACAAAGTAACTTCAAATACTTTTCTATTGACAAAACCGCAGTGAGCATTTAAGATGGCCGCCGTATAGTCAATGTGCGCGCACATTTAAATTCGTCATTCGTCCCATTAGGAAAGTTAATGCTTTACTAAAAGATTTTCAGGTATGTCCTGAAGTACGCAAACGTATAATATTTAGTGAAGTACTGACTGCGCAATTGCAAGAAAAGGCTGAAGCTTTTCCAAAGAACTCTAAAGAGAGAGAAGTCTTTCATAAATGTATTAGTGGAAATACTTTGCGGAAATACAAAATGCTTCATATGGCTAAGAAGTTTTTACCGGCTAGATCAAAGGATAGGAACTATACATAAATTTTAAAGTCTGATGTCAAAACTCATCAAATTAATTTGAGGCCAGAGGTTTGCCAAAAGGTTATTGATTTCTTCGGACGAGATGATGTAAGTCGAATGTGCTTGTCTAAGAGAGACTCTGTGAAACATAATGGTATAAAAAAACAAAGACCTGGTGTCAAAATTTGGTAAAGAAACTGAAATCTTTTTATCCAAAGTGACGCTATTAAGATCTAAGCCATTTTGGGTTGTAGCTCCAAAAGCAAGGTATAGAGGAACATACTTGTGTGTCAAACATGCAAATTTTGAACAGAAGTTCAATAAATTGAAATATGTAAAAGAGCTTAAACATGTGTCTATAGAAAATTTTATTGAACAATACACTTGTGATGTTAAGTCTCATGACTGCATGAATAGTTTGTGTGAAAAATGCAAAATTCCCATTTTTTAATTAGGAGATAATAGAGATTCTTTATTATATTTTATATGGAAGACTGTTCAAGAAGATAAAATTGTAAGAGATGAGAAAAAGACTTTTAAAATAACAAAAAAAGTACCGATATCGAGTTCAGTAAAAGAGTTGAAAATTACTTTGTTTGAAGTTATTCGGGCTATGAAAAAACACTTATACGGCATTTATAGTTACAACAAATTGAAAAAAGAGCTAAAAGACAATTTACGTGAAAGTGAAATAATGATACAAATAGATTTTTCAGAAAACTATACTATGAAGTACACAAATGAAATACAGTCAACACATTTTGCAAAGAAACCATTATCTATTCATACAAGAGTATATTATTCCCGAAACGGTAACGGTGATTTAAAATTAAAATCTTTTGCTACCGTAAGTGAAAATTTAGATCACCAAGCACATGCAGTATGGGCTCATATGAAACCAATATTAATAACAATTTTAGAAAACAAACATATTGACACACTTCATATTTACTCTGATGGTCCAACCTCACAGTATCGGAACCGTACAAATGTAACTCTTTGGATACAAACATTGATTAATCATTTTCAACAAGTAACCAAATCTAGTTGGACTTTTAGCGAGTCTGGGCATAGTAAGGGCCCTATGGATGGCATTGGAGGATACCTAAAAATAACAGCTGACCGTCACGTCTTGTTGGGTAATGACATCAGAAATGCATCAGAATTCGTTTATTTGTTCAAAGAATCTTCTATTGAAGTAACTGTTATCTCCGAAGAAGATGTGATAGAAGAAAGAAACAGAGTTCCAAATCCTTTGGATGCTATCCTAGGAATAATGGACATAACAAAAATATTTTGGCAAAAGGAATTAGAGGTTTCAATACAATTATATAGATACGAACAATTTCACAAAGAGCTAAAACTATCGAAGCTTTTAGCCTTTTTAATGTAAATTCAGTTGAATCTGTGAATGTTTTTACGCCTGCCATGGAATCTCCAGTAGACAAAGAGCCGTTAATAACAGACAATTTGTTGAATTTTAGAAAAAGAGTAAGCATTTATAAGTCTGTATATTACTCATTTTCTTCAGATGATGAATATTTGATGTCAATGTCTCTTCGAAATCAGAAGAAAAAAAACAGATTGGTGTTGAAGCAGGTACATCTTATGGGAAAGAAAATATACATCCGAATCTCATATCTTCTGGGACATTCATACTTGTCAAAGTTCCTACTGAAAAGTCGAATCTTTGCTTTAAATATGTTGCTACTTGCCAGACATGTATTGATGACGATGATGGCGAAATTCTGGTAACCTTTTTAAGATCTGTGCGTAATAGTACCAAAAAGTTTAAACTAGAACCAAAAGTTGTTTCCTATATTAAGTTTGAGGAAATAATCAATATTAACCCGACACCACTGATGAAAAAAGAAGAGAATAGGGAATATTATTATTTTGATAATGACATTGATGTTTTCAAAAATATCAAGTTTTATTATGTTTTTTAAATAATCTTGTCAGTTAATTTGTTGTTTTTTTACAGAATTTTTTATTGAGTTTCTGTCATTACTTATGTTTTCTTTAATAATTTGTAGAAATTTAGAGACTTTGGTTTTATAAAACTGTTAAGTTTTATTATGCTTTTGTTAGTTATTTAGTCGTTTGTTACAAATTTGTTTTACTAAGTTAAACATTTTTTTAAAAATTTATAGAAGTACAAAGAAGTAGATATTAATTTTAGGTCAAAAGAGTCAAATTGTAAGGACTGATTAAAATTTTAAGAAGATTGTTACTGTGATTATAGAAGTTGCACTAGACTGATTATGAATATATCAAAAGACTTGCTTATAAGACTGTATTAATATCAAGAGTATAAGTACAAATATACCAATACAAAAAAATAACTTTGTTAATAAAACATTTGTTTATAATTTAAATATTTCCTTCTTATATGTACCTTATAATATGTATGATGCCAATTTCATCATTCCGGGAACGCTGCATCATTTTCGGGAACATTAAAAATTTCAATGAAATAAGCATAATTAAAGCATTGTTTTAGAAAAAAGATAATTTATTTCATTAACCAATTTTCGTTCTATTCATGTAATGTTAATTTGATTGTAAAAGATTTGGATATTTCGAAATTTCTTAAAAAATATGCTCTATATTAGGTACTTGTTTTATTTTTCTCGTAGAAGACTATACATTTTATTTTCATTGTTATTTATTTAATATAGGTAAGCAATGTATCGAAGTTACTTTACAAAGCTTATATTATGTATATTTGTTAGTTTTTGTTATTTTTATCATACTTAGAAAACCGTTATCGTAATGATAGTTTTGTGCAAAATATCGACCTAAAAGTAAAATAACAAAAACAGTATAGAATTTTGAACGCTGCTCTTTTATTATTTATTCATATGCTATTTTTGTGATAATAAGAACAAAGAGAAATCATTATAGCTTTAAGTTTTTTTTACAAAAAAACGATCTTGGAATTTGCAATCTTGGTGATTTTGAGCCTTATAACTAATTAAATCTTAAAAATTTCTCTTTTCTGGGTCCGTCTATACTTTTAGTAAGTTAAAGCTGTAGGTTCGTTAATATGCAAATCTTTGATTAAGGTTGTTAAAAATAATAATTACCGCAATTAACTCAGTACTCACCTTAATTTCTTCTTAGTGTGCAACAAATTTAAATCCTTATTACGACTCCGCCAATGACGAAGTTAAGGTAGAATTAAATAAATAATACACTGAGAATTAAATGTTTTATGAATACTAAATAACAAAATACAAGCCGTAACAAAAATATCGTCGTATTTCTGAGAGGAAGTTCGTGTGTCGGAGTGATTTGCGACTCCCGCGGACACTCGACGTTTTGTAACTTGTCAGACGAGGATAGGTAGCAGTGACGCAGTCACTATCCAGCTGAAAAGCGATACGACTGTGTCAATGTAATAAAACTAAATTTTAATTTTAAATTTAACCGAACATTTACGAATAAATAAGTTAATTGCTTCATAAATGCAATAGGTGATACATCACCTATCATATATTATAAGATTTATGATCATTTCTTTATACAAAATAACCTACCATACCTTAGTTCTGAGTATATTATATTATTGAATAACACTGTTTCTACAAGAATAAAATAATAAACATAATTTTTTTATTTTAAAAATTTCGGAATGATCTTTCAAGTTTTAAAAAAAATGATTTCAATGTAAAGTAAAACTAAAAATACAAAAACTCACTGATTTATAACAATTATAATTTTTGGGACATTTGCCTTTTTTATGTCATCTGATAGTAATTTTTTCAACTATGGCACTGATAGTTTAACAAGATGTGATATTTGATTATTTGGCGTATTGTTGGACATAATCGGTCTAGTATTAACAGAGAATTCATATGGATAGACTCAAAGAATAAACAAAACATAGTAAAACCAATACCTTCTTCTTAGGTAAGGACGGCTAATCATGTTTAAATTATTTAAGTAAAAATTAAATAAATAAACTTTATCTTTTTGTTGTTTGTTAATTATCCAATTTTAACTTTAGAAAATCAATTAATAAAAAAGTGTCTTCTGATGATACTTCTAAAAAACCGAAAATCCGATATCAAAAATCCGAAAAAATTGAGTTTCATAAAGATCGAAATCAAAATACTCATTTACATTTTAAGACTGGTTTCACATATGACGGGCGTCTATTAGAGACAAATCTTCATGGCAAAGGAGTATTACATTCTAATACTGGATTACTCTACAGGGTAATTTTGTTAGCAATTTAAATACTTAAAATTAAGTCACATAATTTAAAAAAAAAAGCAATGAAGTGATTTTTTGAAATCAAAGAATTCAACTTATGGATAATAAAACTTTTTATATGATACCGCGCCTTGCTATAGGCAGGCGATTACTGCTATCTCTTCATTTTAATAGTCCAGCTATGACACGGATTTAAAGGTTGTTAATAATAAACTAAATGTAACACAATGATTTAAATAATAGTGGATTCAATTTATTACACCTTTAATAATATCCATAAAATTAAAATAATTAAAACACGGTTGACAATAATAAAGTCAATATATCTAAATTTCGACGACACGTGCGGCGGATGTAAATCACAGGTGAACTGGTTTACATAATCGCCGACGTGTCTCGCGGTGCTGCACCCCCTGTCCTATCTACCGATCGCCGGGTAATACAAACTAGTGTTATCGTCAACACTAATGTGTGCGACGGTGGACAGCTGATAATCACGACTGGATAACGCGTTGGTTCATTGTAAATGAATAGTGCGCTATTACGGGCCATGTCAGCTATTAATATGACAATAATTTGTCATCGTGTGTTTTTGGGCCCTTGAACAGAGCCAAGACCTCTGTCAATTGTAGAACATGCATTCTGTTTCGTCCTATCAAACATTTTGATTGAGTTTCAGATGTGTAACTCGTCTGTTTTTTGTTTTGACGACTGACCAACCTGTAGCGTTTATATATATATATATATATATAAAACCCCATGCTGCATGAATACTTTTTAAACAATCATCTTCTTCAAAGAGTAGATAATGTAAAAGATATGGGAGTTACATTTGATACGAAACTAACTTTTGATTCACACATAAATGAGGTAAAAATTAAGGCTTCATCTAATTTATATTTCATAAAAAGAAGTTGCCACGAATTCTTTTACGCTGAATCTCTTAATGCAGTTTATTTTTCATTAGTAAGATCTCACCTTGAATACGCTTCTCTTATTTGGTTTAATAATTTTTTTACTCAAATTCATGATTTAGATTCAATACAAAATAATTTTCTAAAATATTTATCATTTAAATATAAGGCCGATAGGATATTCCATTCTGGTTACGGTGGAGTTTTAGGGTTTTTTTTAAATTAATAATTTAGGTTAAAGAAGGAACAGTCACCAATGTATTTCTTTATCAATCTAAAATACTTGCTGCTCTCAATGATCACGTTCAAATAGATTCAATTTATACTGATTTTCAAAAGGCTTTTGATAAAGTTAAGATATATAGATATTATTTATAATAATAATAATAATATTTATTTAATAAACGCACTGTGGGCATAGAGTACAGAGATAATTAGTTAAAATACATGAATAAAGTAATTTGGCATACATAATAAAGATGAATAATAAAAAAAAGAAAAAAAAACAACAATAAGTATTTAAGATTGAAACTATAACTAAAGATTGTAACTATTTTTCATGCAATTTTTTAAATCTGAATGTGAATTCGGTAAAAAAAAAATCAAAATTATTAAGTTTATTACCTAGAGCTAACATTCGGTTTACCGGTGCAAATAGACAATAATTACGTTTGCAAGTAGGAGTGTAGAATGTAGATGTGGATCTTAACGTGATATTTGGAACATTTATATTAATTAAAGCAAGTATATCTGGACAATCAATTTTGAAGTTTAGTAAGTTATAGAGCCAATGTATGTCCTTAAATTGTCTCCTAAATTCCAAACTATCTATTTCATATTTTAAAGATAATGATTGCAATGTTAATTCAACATTATTTGTTTTATATGCCAGCATACGTAAAAATCGATTTTGGATTCGTTCTAATTTATTACTCTTTAGATACTCTTGATAAGGGTTCCAGATTATCGAACCATATTCTAAAATCGATCGTACTAGAGAGAAGTATAAAACACGTAGGCAAATTGGGTCATGAAACTCCCAGCAATTCCGTTTTAAAATTCCAAATACTCGTAAGGCTTTATTAGGGATTCTATTTATATGTTTGGTAAATGTAAGGTCATTAGAAAAAATTATACCCAATATTGAGGTTTTCATTATCTATATGATAATTAAATAAAAATATTTGCTTATTTCTAGAGAATGTAATTTGACTACATTTATCCGTGTTTAAGTTTAAACCATTATTTGCACGCCATAAACAGAATTGATTTAGGTCATATTGTAATTTATTACAATCATCTATTGAGGAAATTGACATATAAAGTGTAACGTGACAAAAGTATCTTGTTATTTTTTGTCTATTTGTATATATATATATATATTTTTGTTTTGAGTCGAATGCGGACTGCGACGGCGTTTGTCAGTAATATTATTATGATAAGGTATTGTGATTTGTTTATGCGCGTGCGAGATAGTCAGCTGTGTACTACTTCAACCGGTTAATGGACGGCATTTGTGTGTACATTCACCCCTCTCCTTTCCTATCTTGAACGTCATTTGCACTGCTCACCGCATACATTGTCGCCTTATTTAAATTGTTCTTAGTAATTTCCGGCACTGGGTATTAGGTTTTTTTTTGACCCCTACTCCAAAGGCTAGCCGTGTTGTCGCCAACAGACCGCCGGGTCAAACGTCGGACGGGTTGTCGGAAATTAGCCATCATCGGAACTGGTTGTCGCTAATTTTCGTCCGTAGCGTGAGTTTTTTTTTGTTTTTGTTGTGTGCGCTGCAACCATATATATATATTTTTTTTTTTTGTCGCGAGTGTCCGCTACTTTTTATAATGTAAATTTATTGTTTATTGGCGTCGGTTGAGCCTGCCTCATATTCTGTAGCCCTTAGGGGCTGGTAACGTATAAGTTTTGTATATAATGTTTTGAGCCAGTTATTTTTTAGTGCGCCGTGCCATAAGCACGTGTGGCGAATTTTTTTTATATAGTTTTTTTGTAGGTGTCCCTATATTTTTTTTATCTAGGTCCCTCAACATGGCAGGCGTGTTCCAATACCACCTGTCATGTTATATATGTTTTATTATAGGTTTTATATGATTTTTTATTGGGTGATGAATATATTATTGGTACAATGTGGTGACGTAGTGCATTTTATTCCGGGGTGTCCCAACGTCTTGCAAGCTAAGTCTAACTGCCAGAAACCAGTCGCTTACTTGGAACGTATACCTGTCGTGCTTAGCGGCAATGCTGCGATTAATAGCCGGCGGGTACCCGAAGACGTTCATCGTATTCTCTAATAATAATAAAAGTGTAGGTGTAACTATTTTTTTATTAATATCTGTTTTTTTTTTCTCTCTTTCTTTGTCCCCTTTAATTTGTAGACTCGGTTTTTTGCCTCGTGTTAACTTAATTTTTTTTGTTTTTTTTTTTTACTTAATAAAGTCCCCTTAATTCAACTTAACTATCATCTGTTTCTTCTTTTTTGCGTGTTCCATCTTCAATGGACTCGTGTATTTTTTTTTCTCCTTTCAAAAATCTACTCCCCTAGTTTATAAGGTACGGGCAACGGCCTTGTATAAGGTCATCCCTCATTAATATGGTTATGTGACAACTGTCACGAGGTTTTGGTGTACATCTACTATCAACGACTCAACGGACATCAACTTTAATATTTATTAATTATATATTTTTTTCTAATTGTTTTAATATAAAAAAGTTAATTTTTTTTAAANTAGTTAATTTTTTTAAAATCCTACTGTGGTCCGACAATACACTGTTTCGCCCAGTAGGTTGGCGACCCTCTTATTATAATTTTGTAAAACGCCATGAAAGTTACAAATTTTTCGTTGCGGCCAATTAGTTTGATTTTTTTTTTTATATATTTGTAACCTTTCAAAAGCTTTAAATCATCTGCAAATAAAGTGAATTTACAATGTCGAAATACAGTGTTTATATCGTTGATAAAAATTATAAATAATAAAAGTGAGAGATGACCACCTTGCGGCATTCCAGAGGTTACATTTATGTTTGGAGAAATCGAATTACCTATTTTTACTTTTTGGATTCAATCAGATAAGTAAGATTCATAAATAGTTAAGTTATAATAATAAGTTTCCTAAATAGGCTCACAAAAAATTTTAAAAATCTTAATACATTTAAACAATTATTTTTTTATTGAATTTAGTTCAATTGTGTGGTCACCGAGTTATTTTTCTTACAGTAATTCAATTGAGAATGTTCAGTTCAAATTCTTTAAGTTACTGAGTTATAAATTAAAGATATCTAATGACTTGCAGATATCCCAATTGGGATTTACGTCTTGTGAATTAAGGAGAAATATTCCAGATATTATGTTCTTATATGATTTGTTAAGTGGATTTATTGATTCCCCTGAACTGTTATCTATGATTGATTTTATAATACCAAATCGTAGTTTAAGAAAATTTAATTTGTTCTATGTTCCATTTTATAAAAACAATTATAGTTCCGCATCATTTTTTCCAAGGACTTTATCTTTAGCCAATCTTATTACCGAAAATTTAGATATTTTATATTTTTTCATGTCACGCGATTCTTTTAAGCAAAGTGTATACATAGCTCTTCATCAATTCTTTGTTTGATTTACATTTTTAATGATTTTATTAAATGGTATATCATTTAATATGCATAATATAATATTATAATTTGAATACTGTTACTATTAATTTTTGCTATTTGTTGTTATTAATTGTGTCATGTACATATTACAATATTTTTTTTTCTGTCTATTGTTATATTTGCACTGTAAGATGTATTTTTCTAAAGGATTTTAAATCCGTAAATAAATAAATACTTTAGTTTATAGAAGGAATAGTCAAAATTTAGTGTTTTTATATAAACTTATTAATGGTGACATTGATTGCTCATTCCTTCTTGAGCGTTTACAATTTAAAATACCTAAAATTAGCACCCGAATTAAAGATTTATTCTACACTGAATAAATAGTAACAATTAGTTTCGGCAATAAGCTTATAAGCATATAAACAATAAGCTTCAGATTACTATATAAATGATTTAACATAAAAGTAAATTCGGTA